TTTTAAAATTGGTTTTTATCAATTTTTTTTTAAATCTTATGTTAATTCTTAGGAAAAAAAATTAATGAAATACTACACAAAATAAAAAGTAAAGTATATTTTGTTGGTTTGTAAAAAAATGTTTATTACAAAATTTGACAATTTTCTTTTTTGTACAAATGTTTGAGGCCCCTTGAAAGTCGAGGCCTTAAGCAATAACTTACATAGCTTTTTACTTGTAAATCCGGCCCTGATGTGACAGTGTCAAAGCTGATGCTTTTTAACACACAGGGCACAAATATGAATAGAACAATCTCACTTGTTTGTTTTGATACCTCTTAATGACATGTCCCGCTAGCAATAATTGCTCTCCTATAAAATTTCTCAATAAACAGCTACAAGCAGCATATATCATTACATTGGACAGTAATACAGTGGTGCCTCGTATAACGTACGCCTCAAATAACGGATTGGCTGCGAACAACGGACTTTCCGTTCGGCAATTACGTGAGGCAAACAAGTGCAAATGATGTTTCCACACTTTTGCCGTTGCTAATGACAATCTGCTATTTTTTATACTATATTAGTATTATTAGAATATATTATTAGTATATCTAAAGTACAGAGCTCCCGTTGGGATTTGGCTTGCTTCCTTGTTTATTGCATACATCACCTCAGTGCAGGATATTTACATTTATTCAAGTGTTGTGCAAATCATGGCTTCTAAAAAAAACAGAAAGGTGATTTCCATTGAAACAAAGCAAGACATCATCAGAAGGAGTGAAAGTTGAGAAAAACTTCCTTGTCAAATGGGGAGAGGTTCAGGAGTTTACCAACACTCATTATCCAAACAGAGCTAAGGCCAACAGGATCAATGATCTCTACAATGACACCCTTGCCCGTCATTTCCGACAGGTGTTGAAGAAGAGAGAGAAACAGACCACCTTGGACATGTTTTTCAAGAAGCCAGCTGCCAAAAGACAAAGGATGGAACAAGAGGAGATGAACCTGCAAGCTCCGGTAGCCTCTCCTGAATCTGACTCCGATTAAAAAACAATAAAAAGAGACCTGCTGCAATGTGTAAAAACTCTGTATCTGTATGAATGTGTAAAGAAAATGTTCCTCCACCTCCTCACAACATCTGACTACCCAGCATAATTGGTGACTGCTCCATTTTCATTTTTTTATGGTACAGTACAGTTATTTTATGCTGCGGAACGAATTATATGTTTTAACATATATTTCTATAGGAAAATGCATTTTGTTTAACGGACGTGCACCTGGAACGAATTAAGTACGTTATATGAGGCACCACTGTATATGATTAATTTTACATTAATAGTTGCAAGCAACCCAGATAAAGTAGCCATTTTGTAAAAATGCAGTGCACTCTATAGTTCATGAAAAATGCAAATTGACTATATATGAACTTCTGGTTTACATTGGAAGTCATATTATTTCAATTCAAAAGTTTTTCCCTGAAAGCAGGTAATAGATGATTGGTACGACTATTGTTAAAAGAAAAGTATGGTATACAGGAGCAAGATGATACTAATTTGAGATGGAGAGCATATATCTTAAATTAAATAAATTAAAAATATGATTAAAAATTGCAGCCAGCATTGTGACATCTTACAATAAGTAATCGCTCATTGTATATACAATATTTTAGTTCCTGCATAAATGTTGTTTATTTGAATAACTTACAATAAAATTTTTACAAATGATAAGAAATTTGCAGTGGTAGAAAATTTAAGACAAAAACAAAATTGTGTAAAATAGTGAAACTGAAATTTTAAAGTATAGAAAATCATTTCATAAAATTTGTGTTAATGATAATAATCATAGAAATATTTTTATTTTATAACAAACACAAAAATAAATTAGTCATAATACATAGGATTGTTTTTAGTATTTTACTGTTTATAACAAATATATATATATATATATATCTCAAATCTTTTATAGGTTAAATTTGTGTTATATTCCTGACATATTTGCATTCTATATTGTTTCACTTGTGCTATTGTAAATATATCATTAGTTATATCTATATAAAATGACTAATGAATTAAATCACATTCAGCCAAATAACAAATGTATAAACTCTGTTTGTATCTTGTCAATGATAAATACTATTTTAACAAAACAAGTGTTGTAAGTGTATATATATTTACATCAGTCAGTTCCATTAAAGCATTATTTATGGTAAAGTTTGAAAATGAGCAGTATTTTGTTTATTTTTCGTGCTCTTGTTGCTAATTTATGCAATTTTGATAAAACAAAATTTATATTTACAAATATTTACAATTCAGTACCAAAACAATAAACTAATTCTGAATGGTAAGATGGAGGTTGGAGAATTTGTTAGATATAATATCTAACAAATTCTGCTTGCAAAACATCAAAACATATTATGCTTGCAACAGAAATTTTTATTGCTTTTTCTAAGTGATAGGATGATGCCGATTTCATATCAAGAATTATAATGATTATTTTTTTAAATATCAAAAATAAACATCTGTTAGTTCATATTGATAGATTATTAACAAAGTCATCTCAAAATGATAGAATATGTTCACATAATTTCTAGACTAATTTGTATAAACCTACAATATTTTTGTAGCAGAGAACCAACCACTAGTAGACCGTTGATTGCAATCTTCCACACGGTGTGTAGTACTGATAGATATTTTTAAGCACTGAAGATAAGATAGTCAGATCTTACCTGCTATACTTAATAAGCAAATTATCATTTGTCATGAAGAAGGTAAGATAGAATATTGTAGTAAAAGAATTAGGTACTTACATTTCAAGGGAGTGTATCTAAAGTTATTTCAGAAAATAGACAAAATAGATGTGTCAGGACCTGTTAATGAGAGAGGTCATCCTCACATCACAATGGCAAGAGGAGCTAGAATTTTGAATTTCTTTATCAGAACAACATTTTAGTATTAACTTATAATGGATTACAGCATCTTAGGGAAGGAAAAGATATTTTCATTAGTAGATCATCTGTTTGTAGAAGATTACAGGAGCTTGAAACTGGTTTACAGTACCCAGAAGAAGCCATTGCTAAATGCTATACAATCAAGGCATCATGTGGAATGGCCAAAGAGTACATCAGAAAACCTTTAGAATTTTGTTTTCAGTGATGAGAACATGCTCCATATACCAGTTGGTGAACATGGTCGTGTCTGGAGAAAATAGGAGAGGAGTATAAAGCAGACAGTTAAACACCCAGCAGGTTGTATGACTTCCAAAGATATGGGAGATATTTCTGAACAGCTGGATGGATTCAATGATGTATTAGACTATTCTAAAAATTGTACTATTGCCTTCTGTGGAGGACCGCTTTCAGGATAACCCATTTGTTTTCCTACACAATCATGCACCTGCTCACAATTCTGGAAGTACCAAAACCCGGATACAAAACATGAGCATTAATTTTTTCCAGGTAACTCACCTGACCAATAGAAATAGTTTGATTGGATATGAAGAAAGCAATTTGGAAGCTAAAATCTCTGCCAAGAACAAAAGATGATCTTCAGGTCATGTTCTTAACAATTTATTTTGTTCAGAAATGCCACATTGTGCAGGCATAGAATGCACCATGTCAGTCATCAGAAGTAAAGGTCATTCAGTGAAAAACTAATTGTATGTAGATGACCTTACAAGTACAATATTCTATCATTTTGGGACAATGTGGTTGATATTCTGACTTTATGAGACAAACAGTTTTATCATTTTTTTTTGTTAAATATGAAAATTCATTGTCATCAATATGTTTGTTTACTCATTAATGTCCTCTAGCTTAAAACAAACAAAAATATCTCTGACATTTAGGATTGGGTTCAAAATGTATAAACTGAAAACAAAATTTTGATAAGATATTTTACAATTTTATCATTTATGATATAAAAAGGTTTTTGTTTATTATTATATTCATCTATTTATTAGCTGTATAGAAATAATTGGAATAATAATTCAAAAAGTTTCAAACTTTAAAACTGAGTAAATTTCAATTATTTTAAAAATTACTTTTAATAAGTATTAATTTGTTGTCTAAGTAAAGCTGCTGTTACTTGTAAATATAATAAAAATTATAACTTAATATAGAAAGGTAAATTCTGTAACTCAAACTAGGTATATTTAATTAGGTACTACATGTAAAACCAGTGCCCAGTAGGAACTACAGAAATCTACAAAAGCAAACTTTTCATCTGTGTTAAATGGTTATCGTCAGGCTAAACTCCATTCGAACTGCAAAAGTTCGAAAGGAACCTTTGCAGTTCGAATGGAGCTGTTAAAACAAACAGTTTGAAAAGAAAAATTTCTCAGGAGGTTTGCCACCCTTTTGCATGTGGTGTTTGCCATCCACATGCAAAAGGGGGGCAATGTAAGAGAGAGAGGGGAAATGGTTGCAAGACTAAATGTCATAGAATGATTCCCATGCAGGGGGGATGGAGTCTACCTCTAAAATAGTCACATGTGCCTTTGTAAATTTCTAACTGTTCTAAATATTTAACCTTGTTGTTGGTGCGATGTACTGATAGGATGGTCTGACCTCATTACACCTCCCACAAGGAATGGCTTAAATATTTAGAACAGTTAGAAATTTACAAAGGCACTAGAATAAATGTGGCTATTAATTTTAGAGGTAGACTCCATCCCCCTTCATGGGAATCATTCTATGACATTTAGTCTTGCAACCATTTCCCCTCTCTCTTACATTGACCCCCTTTTGCATGTGGATGGCAAACACCAATCCTGAGAAATTTTTCTTTTCAAACTGTTTGTTTTAACAGCTTTATTCGAACTGGAAAAGTCTTTTAGTCTGACTATGACCATTTAACACAGGTGAAAGCATTTACTTTTCTAGATTTTTGTAGTTTCTACTGGATATTGGTTTTGTGTTTAGTGCTTATGGAAAGATGCTTTTTAATTTTATTCTTATTTTTTACTTTTTGTTTCATTTTATAAATATTGATATATACTTAAGATTTTTCTTTTTCTTAAAGGAGGTTGAGAACAACAGACTTTATTTGGATCCTTTATATTCTTCAGATCCAGAAACATGTTTAAATGCTGTCATGTAAGCTATTGAATTAATTTGTTATGTATTTTTTAGTAAATATTAAAGTTTGCTTTAACATTACTACTAAATTACTATTCAAAAAATATTACTACTATGAATAAGCTGATGGCATTTAATGCTATTGTGTGAAATCATATCATAGATTACATTATTAGATCATATTGCTGAAAATTAATTTATAATTAATCTTTAGGATAAACTATTAGAATAATGAATTTGCTGTAATAGTATAAAATTTTGTTATTGTTAGATAATGCCATTTAATGTGTGGTGTATTTACTACAATCGATTCCCTTATAAGACGGTAGATACGTTCTGTTCTTTATGAATCAATTTTGTGGGAATCACAGCCAATCACAGCCTGACATGTGTGAAGTTTACGGACTACGGCTGTTTGAAAGGTTTTCTTCCATAAAATTAATTGATTCTAGACTAATCCGACTCAACATTTCCAAAATACATATATTTTTTTTTTGGAAATAATCCGTATAAACTACGCTATAAACAAAAAATTGTAGGATTACTTACCGAGTGTGCACCATTTGACATCGCCGTTGCTCAAGCTTGTTTTCGTTGCAGAATAGCACAGCAAACCGCAGCCGCGATTTCTGATGTTATTTTTCTGCGAAAACTTCGTTGAACCTTGGAGACATCATTAATATAAATAATTTTAATCGCCGTTGAATAAGAAATGTTTCTTTCACAAGAAATATATAAAATTATAGTACTGTATTAGACTTACGGTACCTAATTTACATACTGTACAGACAATAGCTTGCCTAAACTCTCCGTAGCGTGGCGCTGGACGGCGGAAAGTAGTTCGGCTGCCCGATGACGTTTTACGTAATTATAGGAGTTTTTTTACCGTTGTTTACGGATACCGCCACAATTTTTCGCCGTCTTATAGGAATCGTAATTATAGGAACCGTCTTATAGGGGGATCTACTGTATATCAAGATGGATACAAACTACATGTGAATGGTCTCTCATAAAAGTTTCAAGAATATACTATACAGATGTCCCTAATTTATGACAGCTTTATTCCAGAATGCCTGCCATAAGTCAAGCATACACAATAAATGGTGGTAATGGTGTATTGTTTCTAAAACTTGCACATAAGAATACATTATTTATTTATTCATTCATTCATTACATAAGTAAAGTTTGCAAGAAACTGAAGATGTCTTCTCAGTACAACAAAAATAATAATTGGCTCAATAAAAACTAAAATCAAAATATAAAATATGAACATATAAAGAAATTACTAAAATAACAATTATACAAAATTAAAAAATATAGATGAAGATTACAAATGGCTTTAAAATGATTAACACATTGACTGTCAACTACAAATCATCTTGTAGTTAGCAAATGAACAATAAGTGTCATCTATGAGATAACTTGTATAATGTTTTCTGTCTTGTTTTGCCAGTTATGACTATTCCCATAGTAAGTATTTGTTATAACTGATTAGGGCACTGGGAATGACACCAACAGATTGATTGGGCATAACAGAACAAACTATAAAGAATTTTACAATGTGATACAAGTTTTCTGTTTTGATTGCCAGATATGAATATTTGCATAGTAAATATACTACCAATTATAGATAATACTATTATTATACTACTAATATAGATGAGTTTAATATGTTTATTTAAAATTATTGGAAATTTTNGTATTCATTAATTTTCATTTTCATGTAGTAAAGGCTCTATGCCTTCATAAAGGATGTACTTTTCCTTTGTTTAAGGGTATTTGGGCAGTTTATTCTCTGTTGTATTCTCAAGCAAACAATACATACAAGTACAGTACATTTTCTTTGTTTAAGGGTATTTGGGCAGTTTATTCTCTGTTGTATTCTCAAGCAAACAATACATACAAGTACAGTACAGTATTTTCTGAGAAAACACTCATACTTATTTTTTTAACCCCATTCCCGATAATCCGGCATTTTCACAAACTCGGCCAACCTTCGGTCCACATTAGGCCACGTTTTTGAGACTCTACTGTATTAAATTGTCACAGCTTTAATTGGGCTGCAATTTGAAAAAATTGTAGACCTGTAAATTTCCACTGTCATCTGTCCATCTGTCTTTCCTTAATCTCGAGAACAGAATTAGATGGACAAAATTTGAGACCAACTATGGAAACCTTAGGGATAGGAGACCTATTCGCATTTTTCACCGGATGCTCGCCCTCTGGTGTTTAGAAACAAAACTATTCTATCTGGGTCGTTTGAGTCATTCTTGTGTATTGTTGACAATAAAGACTAATATGAATAGAAAAAGCAAAGCTTTCTGTTGTATTCCAAATTACAATTTCAAAGCCTTACAGGAGCCTAGTATAAGTTTTCGTCTATTCCCACGTGAAAAACAGATGATTATTTGGAAGTCAGTCCGTTATATTTATGAGCTTCTCTGAATTCTGAACAAATGCATTAGACTTAAGAATTGGCAGTTTCCAAATTGTCCAGCTTTACATGAACAAGTTATGCTATCAATTTTAAAATGTGTTTTCTTAAAGTTTAAAATTACAGTAATTTTGTGTGGGACACAATCAGATTTAAGTATTTCAAAGTCCTAAGCTGAACTGTGTAAGGCCATTACTTACCCTTCACAATTTTAGAAGTCAATCATTAAAAAAAATAGAATTAAATTAGATTATGACTCTGATTTAATACAGATATTTGAAGAAAAAGATGTGGTTTCACTAGTCTTCTGTTTTATAACTGAATTTAATTAAATTTTTATACCCATTCCATTAAAAATCTTTTTTAAAATTGGTTTTTATCAATTTTTTTTTAAATCTTATGTTAATTCTTAGGAAAAAAAATTAATGAAATACTACACAAAATAAAAAGTAAAGTATATTTTGTTGGTTTGTAAAAAAATGTTTATTACAAAATTTGACAATTTTCTTTTTTGTACAAATGTTTGAGGCCCCTTGAAAGTCGAGGCCTTAAGCAATAACTTACATAGCTTTTTACTTGTAAATCCGGCCCTGATGTGACAGTGTCAAAGCTGATGCTTTTTAACACACAGGGCACAAATATGAATAGAACAATCTCACTTGTTTGTTTTGATACCTCTTAATGACATGTCCCGCTAGCAATAATTGCTCTCCTATAAAATTTCTCAATAAACAGCTACAAGCAGCATATATCATTACATTGGACAGTAATACAGTGGTGCCTCGTATAACGTACGCCTCAAATAACGGATTGGCTGCGAACAACGGACTTTCCGTTCGGCAATTACGTGAGGCAAACAAGTGCAAATGATGTTTCCACACTTTTGCCGTTGCTAATGACAATCTGCTATTTTTTATACTATATTAGTATTATTAGAATATATTATTAGTATATCTAAAGTACAGAGCTCCCGTTGGGATTTGGCTTGCTTCCTTGTTTATTGCATACATCACCTCAGTGCAGGATATTTACATTTATTCAAGTGTTGTGCAAATCATGGCTTCTAAAAAAAACAGAAAGGTGATTTCCATTGAAACAAAGCAAGACATCATCAGAAGGAGTGAAAGTTGAGAAAAACTTCCTTGTCAAATGGGGAGAGGTTCAGGAGTTTACCAACACTCATTATCCAAACAGAGCTAAGGCCAACAGGATCAATGATCTCTACAATGACACCCTTGCCCGTCATTTCCGACAGGTGTTGAAGAAGAGAGAGAAACAGACCACCTTGGACATGTTTTTCAAGAAGCCAGCTGCCAAAAGACAAAGGATGGAACAAGAGGAGATGAACCTGCAAGCTCCGGTAGCCTCTCCTGAATCTGACTCCGATTAAAAAACAATAAAAAGAGACCTGCTGCAATGTGTAAAAACTCTGTATCTGTATGAATGTGTAAAGAAAATGTTCCTCCACCTCCTCACAACATCTGACTACCCAGCATAATTGGTGACTGCTCCATTTTCATTTTTTTATGGTACAGTACAGTTATTTTATGCTGCGGAACGAATTATATGTTTTAACATATATTTCTATAGGAAAATGCATTTTGTTTAACGGACGTGCACCTGGAACGAATTAAGTACGTTATATGAGGCACCACTGTATATGATTAATTTTACATTAATAGTTGCAAGCAACCCAGATAAAGTAGCCATTTTGTAAAAATGCAGTGCACTCTATAGTTCATGAAAAATGCAAATTGACTATATATGAACTTCTGGTTTACATTGGAAGTCATATTATTTCAATTCAAAAGTTTTTCCCTGAAAGCAGGTAATAGATGATTGGTACGACTATTGTTAAAAGAAAAGTATGGTATACAGGAGCAAGATGATACTAATTTGAGATGGAGAGCATATATCTTAAATTAAATAAATTAAAAATATGATTAAAAATTGCAGCCAGCATTGTGACATCTTACAATAAGTAATCGCTCATTGTATATACAATATTTTAGTTCCTGCATAAATGTTGTTTATTTGAATAACTTACAATAAAATTTTTACAAATGATAAGAAATTTGCAGTGGTAGAAAATTTAAGACAAAAACAAAATTGTGTAAAATAGTGAAACTGAAATTTTAAAGTATAGAAAATCATTTCATAAAATTTGTGTTAATGATAATAATCATAGAAATATTTTTATTTTATAACAAACACAAAAATAAATTAGTCATAATACATAGGATTGTTTTTAGTATTTTACTGTTTATAACAAATATATATATATATATATATCTCAAATCTTTTATAGGTTAAATTTGTGTTATATTCCTGACATATTTGCATTCTATATTGTTTCACTTGTGCTATTGTAAATATATCATTAGTTATATCTATATAAAATGACTAATGAATTAAATCACATTCAGCCAAATAACAAATGTATAAACTCTGTTTGTATCTTGTCAATGATAAATACTATTTTAACAAAACAAGTGTTGTAAGTGTATATATATTTACATCAGTCAGTTCCATTAAAGCATTATTTATGGTAAAGTTTGAAAATGAGCAGTATTTTGTTTATTTT